CCTCAGTGCTGCGCCCTTTTGAGGGCGTACATTGCTTTTTTCTGGGGATGTTTTCTGGGGAGGTATACGTAGTATTTAAGACGTTTAATTTAGAAGATAATCTCACGAAGTTTTTGTTTTCCTTTCTGAGAACCTGGGTAGTGTGCACCGGCTTTTAGGCCCATTGCGTTGGGAGGATCTGCCTATTGGCTTGTCTGTTTAAGTCGATTATCATCCCTTTTACCTGATTTATTGGTTCCCCATGTTGAAGTCAGGTAGTCCGGGAACAAGAGGAGGCCCTCTTGGCAAAAAGCTCGCCAAAAAGAACAAAAAGATGAACAGTAAAAACAAGGATAAAACCCTCCCGGAGGTTTGGAACTCCGAGAAACGGCGTGCGGGGGATGCTTGTCCCAGTCCCCCCATGTCGACATCGCGATGGGAATGGGGTGGGGGCTCCGGCGAGGCCTTCACCCATTCCTGCAATCGTCGATAATAAGAGAGTATCAATGGATATTGAAAGACTAGATGCAAGCAAATGGAAGTTTGGACTGCGTCCGGACACAAGGAAGGAGAATGAACCTACTGTTCCTATAGACATGGAAGTGGAGGAAGAAGAGTTTGTGACGCCCGTCAGACCGAAGAAGGGGAAAAGTGGGCAAAAAGAAAAAGAATCGGACCTGCCGGCGGTAGGACCAGAGAGAGGCACTGATGTTGAATTACTGTCGGTGTCAAACCTAGGAGAACGGTTAGACTCGGATCTAGAGATAACTGGATACGAGACGGACAGAAACATGACAAGGAGCTCGGCGTCCTCCGGATCGTCGGCCGTGGCAAAATCAAAAACCGGGAAGAAAAGGAAGAGAATTTTCTACTCACCGGAAGATGGGGATGATGAGGCGGAGGAGGCTTCCAGCGGACTCTCGGTCGGTCAGTTGTCTGACACGCAGAAAGCGCTTACGGACGAAAGGGCGCAACCCCTAGAGAGGCTTTCATCGTGCGACGTTGCTGCCCTGGCTACGGAATGGCTTGGTGAGGCTGAAGCGGCCCGTGGAAAATCCATTAATATTAAGGGGTCGCTCACCAAAATAATCAAGGTGAACCTACACTCAGCTGGACACGCGATTCGGACTTTGGCCGATAGAGCATCTGCGGAAGGTAACCCTGGATTTTTGCGGAATCGGATATTGGAGTTACAGGAGGAGCTTTCGGAGGCAAAGCTCCAAATACAAAGGTTGACCAATATCTTGGCCGAGAAAATGCCGGGTGCGGCTGAGGGGTTAGTCGATAGCAACATGGATGCTAGGTCCCTGTCAGAAAGTCCCTTGCTGGGGAACGAGCATCGGGAAGAGGCAGCTGGAATGAATCTAGGAAGCCCAGTAAATATGACGGAAGGACCGAAAAATCAACCGACTAGGTGGGAAAATAAACCGGAGGCTGGCCCTACAAATCAAATAACGTTGGATAGGGGCTTTTTGGTAGACCTTACGGCAATGATTAAAAGTGCGATGGCCGAGGCATTAGGTACAATGATCCCTGGTGGCAAAATTAAGGATAGATTGCAGACTGAGGGGACAAGAAGAGATGTTGTTCCTTACCTTGCAATAAGGGAGAAGAATACGACTTCATCATCTGCGGTAATGGAATCTAACAGACTAGATACGGAGGACGATGGATTTCCTACCCCTGCTCCGTGGGTGAAAAGGAAACAAAAAAAGCGTACCCGAGGCAAGATGGCGAGCGCACAAACTCCACTCATGGATAGGGGAGCTGTAGCCAAAGAGGGTGGAAATCTCAGTAGCAAAGACAGACGAGAGGAAGTTCAAGAAGCGGCAATAAGCAACCAGCCACAAAAGAGGGAGATGCGTGCAACAGATATTCCTCCTGCGGTTCGGAGGACGAGGGAAGGGCTGCCACCAAGGCGTCCCCCCGTTCCTCGGCAGTTACGCTCTCTTGTCCTGAGGGAGGCATGTCCTATGCAGAGGCTATTAGGACGGCCAGAGAGAGAATTGTCCTGGATGACTTAGGGATTGCCGACACGAGAATGAGGAGCACAGTGTCTGGCGGAGTACTAATTGAGCTACCGGGACCTGACAAGGCGATGGCGGCACATGCTCTAGCGTCCAAACTCCGTGATACTTTCCAAAACACAGGGATCCGGGTTGGTAGACCTACGATGAAGGGGGAACTAAGACTTTCAGGCCTGGATGCTTCAGCCACGGCCGACGAAGTTTTGGAGGCTATGGCAAATGCTGGCGGTTGTCAACCGAAGAGTATTAGACTTGGCAACGACAGGATTGCTAGAAACGGGATGAGGACCGCGTGGTTGCAATGTCCACTGGAGGCGGCGCTAAGGATTGTGGAAACTGGGGGTCTACGAATTGGGTGGGCCACTGCAAGAGTAGAGCTACTCAAGAGAACATCTTTACAATGCTACAAATGTCTGGGGGTAGGTTATGTGAGATGGAGGTGCCCTAGTGATAAAAATAGGACGGGACATTTTAATTGCGGGGGGCGAACCACAAGGCAAATGAGTGCGGTAGACCTTCGAGCTGCCCCGTCTGTAGGGGCCGTGGTCTCCCTAATAACCACAAAGCTGGGTCTGGGGTGTGTCCACCACTTCAACCAAGGAGAAGCCCGATGAGAAGCGCGGGAAGAGAGGAGGGAATAAGAACGGCGGATCGGAGCAGTGTCGCCTTGGCGAGTACTAGTAATGACCAGTAAAGTGGTGCAAATAAATTTAAACAGATTCTGGAGTGCACAGGATCGGCTTCTACAAATTATGCAAGAATGTGAGTGTGATATTACGTGCGTCTCGGAGCCGTACCGAGTCTCCAGGGATCCCAGATGGGTCGGGTCTGCAGAAGCGACCCCTATAGCCGCCATCACCTGGCAAGGCCCGAAGTCCCCTAAATCGGTAACTGTGATCGGTCGAGGAGAGGGTTTCGTTGCTGTGTTGTGGGACGGCTGCGTGGTGGTTTCGGGATACTTCTCCCCAAATAGAAGTGTAAATCAGCGAATTTCTCTCGGCGATTAGGGATGTGATCGTAGGGCACAGGGGACGGTCTATGCTGGTGGTTGGGGATTTCAACGCTCGATCCCATTTATGGGAGAACACACACCCCACTGTCCGGGGTGATGTACTTACGACCTGGGCCGCCGCACTAGATCAGCGGCTGCTAAACAGCTTTGACGTGCCTACATGTGTGAAACCTCAGGGAAGTTTGGTCATAGACCTTTCCTGGGTCTTTCCTGCTACTCTTGCAAATATCAGGAAGTGGGAGGTTGCATCGGAGGAGGAATCATTGTCTGACCATAAGTACGTGTTCCTGGACCTGGGGCCCAGGTGTGGAATTCAGACGGACAGGCGAGCAGCAAAAGGGTTCCCTCAGTGGAACCTGAAAATTCTGAATGGGGATCTCCTGTGTGCTTGCGTGGCCTCAAGATTATGGCCCAGGTTTGAGGAGAACTTAACAGCTGAACAACTGGCAGAACGTATTCAGTCGGTGCTCACGGAGGCCTCAGATATAGCAATGCGCAGGTCCAGTAACCATCATAAACGACCTGTTTACTGGTGGAATTCGGACATTGCTGAACTCCGCAACGCATGCGTGAGACTCCGCAGACTGGACACGAGAGGACGTAAGAAACAGCGTGCGGCGGTCCCACCCCTGGAAGCAGAGCTGGCCCGCGCCAGGGGTGCCCTCAGGAGAGCAATTAGAGAGACAAAGGACAGGGCCTGGCTGGGACTCCTGGCGGATGTCGATGGGGATCCTTGGGGGCGAGCATATAGAATAGTATTGGGGAAGATGAGACCCCAATCTAAACCGGTGTGCGAAACTTTATTACAAGCAAAAATGTCTAGGGTTATGGCGGGACTCTTTCCTTTGGAGCTCGACAAATTAGACGAAAGACCCCGCCTACCGGTATTGTGGGATGAGGACCACGCGGTCTCGGTGAGAGAGGTAGAATGGGCTGCTTCAAAGTTGAAACAATCTGGAAAGGCCCCGGGACCTGACGGAATTTGGGGGGGCGTTATCAGTTGACCCTTCCGGAATGCGCGGAACTTCTCGCTAGATGCTTCTCGGCTTGTCTTCGGGAGGGCACCTTTCCAATATGTTGGAAAAAGGCTAAGCTAGTCCTGCTAAAAAAGCCTAACAAACCGGACGCGATCCCCTCATCGTATAGGTCGATTTGCCTTCTGAATGAGGTTGGTAAGATGTTCGAGAGAATGGTAGTCCGCAGAATCAGAACCAGTATCTTTGAGGGTGTGGGATTGTCGGCTCACTAATACGGGTTTAGAATCAGGCGCTCAACAGTCGACGCTATTCTTAAATTGAGAGAACTTATTAAACTGGTATTTAGTGACGGAAGAGTAGCGGTTGTGATGTCCCTTGACATTTCTAACGCCTTTAATTCGCTACCGTGGGAAACAATCCGCCAGGCGTTGGTGGTGAAACAAGTTCCAAATTATTTGCGAAGAATCACAGAGAGCTATCTCTCCGATAGATGCGTTTGCTATGTGGACTGTAGGGGTCGAATGGTAAGAAATCCTATGACGTGCGGGGTCCCGCAGGGTTCCGCGCTTGAACCGGAAGCCTGGAATCTTGCGTATGACAAGGTGCTAAAGTTGGATCTGTCCGAGGATATCTTTACGCTGTGTTATGCTGACGACACGCTGGTTGTGGCCCTGGGGGATACTTTAAATGAGGCTAAGGCTCGTGTAGAACTGGGGGTGGCCTCCGTTGTCCGAAAAATCGAAGACCTGGGTTTAAAAGTCTCTCCGACCAAAACAGAAGCGGGTGTGTTCTCCCGAGCGCATAGATTTGTCCGCAATGACGCAATACTGGTAAAGGGCTCCGTGGTTCCTCTGAACCCCAACATAAAGTATTCTGGATTGCTACTGAGCCGCCGTTGGAAATTCAGAGAACACTTTTCTTAGCTGTTACCGAAAGCGGAGAAAACGGCTCTGGCCCTGTCTAGGCTTATGCCTAATTTGCGGAACCCCAAGGAGGGAGCGAGAAGGTTATACGGCGCTGTGGTACAGTAGTAACTAATAAGGGCGGGTTCTAACTCAGGAGCTCCGAGGGAGGGTGAGAGGCAGGGAAGTCCACGGGGGTCCGCGAAGAAAGGGGTCCGCGGAGAGTCCGCGGGAAGGGGGAAGCCGCGGGGAGGGGGAAGCCGCTCAGAACGTTCACGGCGCGATCCGCGGTCCGCGGGGAGGGGGAAGCCGCGGAAAGCCGCTCGCTCAGCTGGCCTGACCGCGAGGTCGTGGGTGCGGAATGCGCGGGGGCGAGGGAACCGCGTTGTAGGTGCGGGATGCGCGGGGAAGAGGGAACCGCGTTGTAGGTGCGGGATGCGCGGGGAAGAGGGAACCGCGTTGTAGGTGCGGGATGCGCGGGGAAGAGGGATACCACGTCGGAAATGCGGGTATCGCGGGGAAAGGGGAACCACGCTCGCGCTCGCCGCGTTCGCTGCTCGCGTTCGCCGCCGCCGCCGCCACCGCCACCGCCGCCACCGCCGTTGCGCACGGGCCCCGCCGTCCCACCCCGCGGTCCCACCCGTTATCGCACGTACGCGAAGAGGAAAAGGAAGAGGAGAAGAATTGAAGAAAGTATTATTTTATGATTGAAATTAAAGTTTTTATTATAAAATTTATATTATAGAATATATGAAAAAGAATATGTAGTGTTAAGCCCACTCCACCGCGCCTATCTGTCGCCATCTGCAACAGACAAAGGAGTCAAATATTTTAAAAGAATGCAAAGAGAGATAGAATAAAGAAAGGATAGCTATTTAAAAAATACTTACCCTA